GTACAAGGTGTAATCCAAGCCCAAAAGATGAGGATGGGCTTTACCCACAAATACATCCAGAAATAAAAAAATTATATTTTCTCCTACAAAAAGGGGGAAGTAACGTGCACAAAAGAAAAAAAACAAGTGCTCCCCATTTTCTGCAAACAAAAAGGAAACGTGGAGTCAGAAATGGTGGTTAACAGAAAGTGGCAGGAGGTCATGGCTTCTACCTCTCCCCCACGTAACAAATTCTAGAGCTTTCCTAGAATGCCTATAAATAAGCATTATCTCCAGCAAGTAAAAAAAAAACAGAAAAAAGGAAGGGGAAACTCTGCAGAAAATAGAGAAACTTTGAGAGAATACCAAAAGCAACGAAGTGCTGCCAGAAAAGAGAAGGAATTCAATCTTTCGTGCTTTCGAAGTCAAGAACCAAAGAAGAATATTCATCACCAGGTATAAAAACAAAGCCCTGTTAAATTTATTTTTCTCTTGATTTTTGTTATGTTATACATATATACAAGAAACAGAGAAGGACACGAAGGAAGAAACAACGCAAAAAAATGGCAGCCGAAGACCACCAGGCAATTGTCCAGGAAATTCCCTTTTTGCTCGGCAATGGTCCACAACACAAAAAAAAAAAGGACAAATCATGTTTTCTCTAATCCTTCTTCTAGCCATATTTTGGCTTTTGTCTCTTCGCTCGGATGGAGGTGGAAGCTTAAACGACGCAACTCTCCACTAACTGCAGCAAAAGGAATCTCCAAGAATCCCATGAATTTCTTCGGGGTGGCTTAGACCACCCCGTGAAGTTTTAACCGAGTCCAAATGGTCTGTAACCCCTCACCAGACTAACAAGTGCAACTTCAAAATCTCAAGCTTAGTTTCTATAAAGAAAGACAGCAAGAAAGCAACATAGACCGATATACGACTCAAGGGGTAAGAAATTGTGCTGTTTGGTGCTACTCACGGGTACAAGACATGGAGATATGCACATGAAGAGGAGGAAGAAGAAAAAGTTGTTTGTTTTTTTAACATATGGAGACATACAGTTGGAAGTCATATTTGGATAAAGGAGACAAGGGAACAAAGACAAATGACCATATAAGTACATGTATGTGTTGAAAAATAAACAAAGGAAAAGAAATCAGAAATTTTGATGATGACAAAAGAAAAGTCCTCAACACAACTTTTGACAAAGACAAATAAAAGGAGGAAGGAGACGTGAAGAAATTTTCAAGGGTCAAAGTTTCAAAGTTTCAAAGGGTCAAAGTTTCAAAGTTGGGACAAAAGGAAAAGGTTCAAAAAGAAAAGATTCAAGGTTTCAAGCTTCTCTACTAAATTTCCCAAATTATTCAGGAAACCCATTCACATGGTATCCTTTGTATTAAACACCAAAGACTTGGTAGACAAATCAAAATTGCAGAAAGATTTTTTTTTTGGAAAAGGCATCACATGGTACAAATGTTAAAAAGAAAATATGGCAAGTATCGAAGGCGCAACATGAATGGGAACACAAAAAGGGTGTCCAAATGCTACTGTCAAAGCCAGTCAAGTAAAATCTCTTTGTGGAAACAAAATTACCAAAGTGATAATCACACACGAGTACGTCAAAACTCATTCAAAATATGGCAGATATTATGAGTACGTTACTACAAATTTCAGAGTACAAACTCTCACCTTCGGAGCCATAAATCAACAATTGTCTTCAACTAACTCGGGGCTGCAAAATGGTTTTGTCCAACAACCAATCGAAGAGATGTCGTTTCCTGGGACTCCTGCACGAAAGAATTGATAAAGTTCATTGCAGCTAGAGTTTCACTTCACTCCAAATACATAAACAAACCCAGAACATAAAGAAAACAAAAATGAGTAACCTGCTCGATTTCTTCCCCCTCTTTGTTTTGAGTTTTCGATCAGCAGAGGAAGCACACAAGCAAAAGAATAGGGCAGCAGGAAGATGAGAACTCTTGTGTCCTGCGTAAAGTGGGACTTTGCGGTTTAAAGAGAAATGACGGAAAATTGAAGTAATTGGAACAAAAAATTTAAACTCCAACAAACCTTACCCACTCCTACTCTGAAATCCACGGATACCCAATCCAAATAGAAGTTTGAAATGCAACGAAGTCCACGGAAGTCCAAATATAGCGGAATAGTCGCTTGCTTCTAAAGGAAAACCACCAGATTTCAAAGCCAAGGGAAAGAGGATCGCTGAAGCCATCTTACCGGGGGGATGATGATGCTAAATCCTCAAAACCATCAAGGAGAGGCACGGCAGGGACAAAAAATCAAAGCATGAAAAAGCAGGGGACCTAAAACCTAAAAAGGCATTTATAAAAAATGGTACTTTACCACTTGCTTTTATTAAACAATAAAGCAAAGACTTGCTGTGCTACTATACTACCCAGTTAGTGTCAGGCATGAAGACAAGATGGAATGGGTTTCAAGACAAAGTAAATGAAGGCAAATAAAAGAAAGAAAGGTTGCTCATCACGTGGGAAGTATGGACTCACCCTAAATACACTAAGCTTTGATTATTAAAGGAAAAGGCATGGGTCATACTTGGCAAAAAACCATCAATTCATTTTTTTTGCCAGTCATCATCTTTTGGGCACCTTTCTTTTGCCAAAGTCTGAACACAAATCCAAATCAAATATTTTTTATGAACTACGCCGGTTTGAATGGCACGAAGCCGAAGAAAAGTTTCAAAGGGCACGAAGACCGTATCAAAGTCTCAAATGGCACGAAGCCATATCAAATTTTCAAATGCTCCTCGCCCGCATGAGCTAAAACTGCATAAGGCATTATGCTCCTCGCTCGCATGAGTTGAAACTGCACAAGGCATCAAAACGCTCCAATGGCTTAAAGTCCTCGCCCGCACGAGCTGAAACTGCACAAGGCATCAAAACCCAAACAACGTGAACTACGAGTGACTTGATCCTTCAAGAGGGTACGTAGGCAATCTAGGATTCGACCTAGATGCAGTCACAAAATCAAACAAACACCAAAGTCCTCAAATTACATTTTATTCAAATTAGAATCAAAGGGTATTCCTTTCCCAAAAGAAGGGTTGTAATTAATAGGCGCATAGCCTAGAATGGGTCGAACTCGAATTAATAAAACCCTCTTCGGAAAATTGAATGAGGGTGAAATTGTGTCGAGTGAATTATTTGTTTACATATTATGTACAATTTTTGCTCAACACTGTCATTTACCTATTAATACGAAGAGCTGATTGAACTGCGATTTGGGCGTGAACGGCCTGATGGAGGAGAAGAGGCCCGGTAGGATGTGATAAGCGGAGGCCCCGTAGGGGATTTGGGCGTGAATGGCGATTTCGACAGTTCTTTAGTTTTTTTTTTTTTTTAATATAGTTATATATAAATTGTTAGCGGCGTTAATTTTAGAGACAAGTGGGGAGACACGTCAAAAAACTAACAAAGAGACACAAAGGAGACACGAAATTGGGGACAACAGATCCTTGGTCGTGGTTGACTGGTTTCCGTTCCGGCATGTTGGATCCATTTGTAAGTTTATTTGTTAATTTTGTTTGGGTAAATTACACTTTCATACCTTAGGTTTAGGGTCTATTTCAAATTTTTACAACATCTTTAAAACATTTCACTTTCATACCTTAAGTACTATTTTATTTCAAAATAATACATCCGTTACATTTTTCATCCATTAATCCGTTAAATGCTGACGTAACTGCCACATATATGCCGCTACCAAATGTCAGTCACATGGCAAATAAAATAATTTTTGTATACCTGAATTTTCTCAAAAAAAAAAAAAAAAAAAAAAAACCCACATCTAGAAGAAGAAGAAGAAGAAGGAGAAAAAAAAATTGCCCCCCCCCCCCCAAAAAAGCGACCCACATATGCAAGAAGAAGGAGAAGAAGAAGAAGGAGAAAAAAAAATTGTCCCTCCCCCCAACGACCCACATATGCAGGAGGAAGAAGAAGAAGAAGAACCCCCTTCCCCCACTCACCGTCCGGCGACCCAGCTCCCTTCCTCCCTTTTCTTCTTCTTCTTGTTGCAGATGTGGGTTTCATTTTTTTGTTTTTGAAAAAATTCAGGTTTTAAAAAAAAGATTAATTTTTTTTTTTGCAACGTGGCAGACATTTGGCAGACACATGACATATATGTGGCAGTCACGTCAGTATTTAACGGATTAATGGATGAAAAATGTAATGGAGGTATTATTTTGAAATAAAATAGTACTTAAGCTATGAAAATGAAATGTTTTAAAGATGTTGTAAGGAATTGAAATAAACTCCAAACCTGAGATATGAAAGTGTAATTTACCCATTTTTTCTTTGATAAATTTGAACAAAATGTAGAATAAAATGTAGTTAAAACATGATGACAAGTGAGTTAAAAATTTATAAAAATTAAAAGGGTAAATAGATTAAAATTAACTTTTCAAGGTTCAAACATTAAGGAGTGGCCCAGTAGTTGAAAATGAATTTCATACCTGTATTTCATACGGCATGTTTTGAGTTCAATTCTGAAACTGGTGAATCGTACTGTGGTAGCCAAAAGAGGTTGAAATGTCTTTATGAGTCTTCCTGACCCCTAGAATGATGAACTGTCATGGCGAAGACACCAGCTGATCCCTTAAAAAAAAATCAAGAGTTATTTCTTCTAATAGTATTTTTCGTCATTTTTTTGTTTTTAACATACGATATTATCTACACTAAAAGGGAGGGGTGGGTTTAGCTTCACAATGGATCATAATGTGGTTCAAACTTGCATTTGGCAAGAATCGAACCTTAGACCTTTCACTTACAGGGGAAGAGAAATACCACTAGGTCGTAGTATTAAGTGACATTATTTTTCGTCACTTGTATAAGAAATTTTTGAGTTTGAATATGGTAAATAACAAGTTCGTATCTAATTTAACACCAATTTACTTAATTTAAAATATATCGTTGTTTTATAAAATTACTAAGAAAAGAGATAAATTAAAATTATATAAAAATTAAGGGGAAAATTGATTAAAATAAACTTTTAAGGGGCCAAATCGCCAATGGGTTACAAGTGGGGGGCATATCGCAGAATATCCTTTGTACATTTTTGGTCGAATTCGCTGAAAATCATTGGTGTCGGTCAAAGAAATATTTTGTTTTCTCCAGCGCGTGAGCTAGCACCTGCCGCTACCACTCCCGCAATACTCAGCCGCTCAACCGGAGAAATCGCCCTGACCGGCGGAGGGGTAAGTCTGAGTTGCAGAAACCTGATTCGCGCGCAGGGACGGCGGAAGGAAGAGGCTCAGGTTGATTTCCGCGCGCAGATTTTGGCCGGCATATCAACTCACCGCTCCCAGGTTGCTTATATCTGAACTGCGAACAATTCATAGATCAAATTTTATTGTCAAAGTAACAGCAGAAGTCCAGATGATTTTTTTATAAATAAAGAAGAAAACTTTGGTATTTCTGTAGACTGTTGGGTGAAATTAAAGGTTGCCCGTTTTCTGATTTACTGAAAAACTAGTAGGGTTAAATGCCATTGAAGAATTATGAAATACACTAGCTAACTTTGTTGTTGAATTGTTTGATTTGTGGTTGATGCACATGGATTTTGTAGTTTATGCACCGGAGCATGGTAGAATTTCGTGATGCATAACATTGAGGTGTCATATATTTCTAACAGGATTTTTTTGGCAGACTATTAAAGTGAGAAATACTGATTCCTGCGCGTATTCGGTTCAGAGTTGAAGAATGGTGGGTACATTCATGATCCTCCCTAACTCTTTCGTTTTGTTAGTTTGTAATTGTTGGCACATGTCGATGAGTACATTAAGTTAACGAAGGAATGAATAAATCCTGCAAACAGAATCATTATATTGCAAGGAAATTGTGCTTAAAGAAACTCAGGGGTTTGTTTTTTGATCATCTAATCGAAACTCAAATGGTTATTCATATTGATTAATACAAGGTTGGAACTTGGAAGAGTGACTCCTCCGGTTATAGGAAGCAAATGTAGGCAACTTAGATGCACTGTCCTCCCTTAAGTAATCTCATGTGTAAAGCCATGTTATCGGGTGCTGGTTGCACAAGTGAACTTCTTGTAACTGCTTTGGGGGCATATTGAAGCTTTCCTTTCATAAAAGACCAAATTGAGAGCAAAATATGAGGTTTTAGAACATAATTCGGAATAAGACTACCAAAAATGTAGGTGTCCATATCTGAAGCCTTTGAGTTTGAGATATGGATTTGATGCTAAGTTGCGTTTTGGTCATATTTGTGCATGGAGATTCAACCTATTTATTGTGATTTCTTTGATCAGAGTGCGTCTAGTACTTGAAAAAAAAGGGATAGAAATTGTGTGGCCTGTATTTTAGGTCACTGTAGGTCTTGTTCTTCGACTATGATATGTTTTTCGTTTTAGCCGTTGCATATTTAAGAAATTTGTACGGAATACAAGACAAAGAAAAGATTAGTGGTTTCAATGTCTCTTTTATCATTAACGGAAAGGAAATAAATGTATGTCTGATTTGTTTATGTGTATGTTTTCCAGGCCATGTATATCCGTGTTAAGCGTAGTAAGACAACTTACTTTATCCAGTGTGAACCAACTGAGACAAGTTTAGATATTAAGCAGAAATTGCATGATCTTACTGATCAACCGGTCAATGATCAGCGCTTGATCTTAGTCAGTACCGGGGAAGTATTGGAGGATTCAAAGACGTTGGCAGATCAGAAGGTATGAAACATAAGTTGCAGTTTCCTCCCTCCTACTTGAACTTAAGAGATTCAATGCTACAATTAAATTTCATCACATTGACATTCGAAATACTTATCCATTGAGCTCCAAATGCATTGATGTCTTCATTGATGTTTTTATGTCCTTTCAGGTTGAAAATGATGCCGTTGTTGCATTGGCCTTCAGAAAAGGCAAGTCTCTCATCCTTTTGTTCTTTCAATCCTCACCTTAAGTTAACTCCAAGCTTATATTTGGCATGTCTACTTTGTTCTCGGGGTTGTTAGTGGTTGATATGGGTTGAAAACTGAACGCCTGTTTGTCGAGTCACATTCATGGATGAAAATACACTGCATCCCTATTAAATGGTAGCCGATGTAGGTGATGTAGAAGAGATGGAAAGCTTATTGAATTACATTGGCATGAAATCTTGAAACCCCGAGGAAAAAGGCACAAAATAGGGCAGAATATGCATTCCCGTCGTGAATTGGATTGTGAAATATTTCAGACACTGTTTGAGGACCATTTTGATTTAGTCATGTTTTTTAAGACCAGATTGTGTATTGTTCTTTATCTTATGTTTGCTTTGGACTTGATGGCCTCCAGATGACAATGAGTTTGAAGAGGTCAACATTGTACGACCAGACGACTTCTATCAGTCTCGTGATGCAGATGCAGGCAATTGGTGAAGTCGGAAACATTGCTCCGGCGGTAGTCTAAATCTGAGATTGTTTCCTTCTCGTGCTCGGATTTTTAGGAGAATAATTGTTATATTTAGCAAACAGTTGTGTTAAAGTCTGTAGATGAAATAATTCATTCATGAAATTGACAGCATTAGTAGTATTTGTATGAAATAAACAAAAGATAGTGGTGCTAAAAAAATGATTAGACATTGTTGGTCCTACTTTATATGATGGAAACCTAACTTGGATAAATATAAAAGGGTTAAAATCGCAAATAGTTCTTGTGATATTGGAGTCGTAACTTTGGTCCATTACGTTATGAATCGATTAATGTCGTTCGCCACGTTATCGCTCGGTCCTCCATCAGAAACTCTGTTAGTGTGGTTGACGTGTGGGTAAAGTGTCTCCTATCAACTGTGCACACAAGAATTTTTTTAATTTTATTTTTTTGGAAAAAAATAGACTAGTTGGTGGCTTGGTCATGGCAATGTATCATTATGGGGGCAGGGAGAACTCACAGAGTCATTCCAGTCTTTCTTGGCCACTATCATATATTCATCAGCGCTAAAAATCAAATCCAAGGCGTGTGATGTTAAAGACGGGCATGAAATTTGTCCCAAAGCTACGTAATTCTCATTTTCGGTTGGCGTCGTTGAGTTCTATTGAGCTTGGCCCTTGTACTCCCATTGGGCCTAAAAAATGAAGGATTTTCGACCCAAAACGGCGTGCCGTTTCTCTGGAAATTTGCCTCCTTATCCCAGACCAAAACCCACTCAGTGGAAAGGGCGAGACTCTCCGGTCTCCGCACCTCAGCGGAAAAGCCATGTCCCTCCTTCCCTCCACCTCCAAGCTTTGCTGAAATTGAAGCACAAAGAAGTGCAGGGGACGTCAAGAACAAGTGCGAGGGCATATGGAGGCTGTCCAAGCTCGGCGTCTCCGTCGACAAGGACCCCGGAAAGGACTTTTTCGGCGTCTCCGATGGCTTGCTCGAACAGATTGCCAGAGTGCTCGAATTTCCCGGTAATTTCATCCGGCAGCAGTTGTGTTCTGTGGCAAGCATTTTTGTTCAAGTTTTCACATTTTTCTTGTACGTCACTTGTTTTACGTTTCAGGTTCCTTCGATGCTGCCGACGGAGGCCTTCACGGTGGTTCTGAAATCTTTTGATGCAAGGAAGGTATGTTATTTTGTTTTGAGTTTTGGTTTAGGGTAGAAAGTTAGAGTCTTGGAAAAACGGCGATTCGCGTCGCGTCTGTGAATTCGTTTCAAATGGTAAAGGAAGAGTTATGCTGATTTTGATTTTGTTGCCCAGCAAGTAATGTGCTGAAAGAACCGAAATTCGTATACATTGTGGAAATGGATGTCGACAAACTTCTGAGTCTGGACCCTCGCACTTGGGGACTTCATTCCGAGTTGGAGCCGAAAGTCGGGCTGGTAGAACACATGCCTGAAGCGAGAAAATCTGGAGATTCGATCAGTATAATATATATGACTTATAAAAAGTACATCAAGGTACAGTTTCTAGTGGTGGTGGACATAACACGAAAAATGGATCCGGAAGGACATACACGTAAGCACCCCACGGCTACAGAACCAAAAATTGCAGTGGTGGGTAGCGGATCATCAGGGTTGTTTGCCGCCCTTGTTCTTGCGGAATTTGGTGCAAAAGGAGAAATAAGTATACAGCATTTTTATTTTCCTACAAACCCTAATGTTTAATCTTATTCGTTGCTTTCATTTTGTTGATTTATTCTGATGGTAAAAAATAAAGTGTTGTGTTAAAAATCAACTCCGTTTTTGTAATACTACCAAGAAAAATGTTAAGAAGACATTTTTAAAAGTGGGACTCGTCATTGACTCTTCGCCGTCTCAGTATTTGGAACAATATTTTATAATGTTGGCACGAAAATTAACATTAAAATATGAGGTGTACAGTTCATGGAAATTGGCGTTAGTATTTCTCTACTACCAAGTGTGCAAGTGGATTAAAGCATTTAACATGCTAAACAAAATTCCACCCTAAGTTTTAAAAATTCCTCGGATCCTCCCTAAGTATACTACAATTGCTCGAGTGGATTACTTACAGCATGTGAACGTCTCGAGTGGATTACTTACAGCATGTGAACGTCACGTCTACTACAATTGCTCGAGTGGATTACTTACAGTATGTGAACGTATACTAAAATTGCTTAAGTAGATTAATTAGAGCATTAAACATGCTCAACCAAACTCCAATTATTTTACGCATATGGTCTGTCAGTGTCTATATATATGAACAACATGATAGATGATGATACTCAAATCTAAAGTTTTATCAAAAGACTAGTGCTTACTACTTACTGCTGGTATATTCTAATTCCGGCCGTCCGACGTTACGCGATTATGGCTACCCCCTCCGGGCACCTCCTCCTTAAGCTGCTTGTTTGCACGGTGCTGGTGCTTATGGTGGCGGCTCTTGCGCCCAAGGCTGAAGAGGGAACCCTCGTTTGTGATATTATTCAGGTGCAGGAAACCATGTGGGCATGCAGACCATACATCTTTAAACGTGGGGAGTTGACTAAAGCTTGCTGCAATGGGGTCAAGACCGTCTACAGAAATGTTAAGACCGCCGTTGACCGCCAGGCGGCCTGCGAGTGCATCATAGATTTAGCCCCGTTTAATCGTACTAGTGAAACCCGGATTGCTGGCCTTCCTACCAAGTGTGGGATTCCCAACAATAACTGCACAATATGACAGGATCCCATCCGTTACAATATCTAATAGCCCAGAGCTAAGGCCAAAGTATTGTTATTTCTTTGTCATTTCCATTTACCTGCTGACTGCTGTTATGTTTATATTGTTCTAGAAGGATTCCTAGGCTCCTATCCGAACCTTAAGTTCGTTGTACTAAATGCAAGGGCTCGGGATCCTGTATTAAGCTAGTAATGTGATGTGAGAAAGGCATGAATATTGAAGTAACTTTATATATGTATCTTTCTGTTATTTTCCTTATACGGTTTCTGTCCTATCAACTTGATATCAGGAGCCTCTCGACCCTATGAGCAAAAAGGGTCAGGTCGCCGCTGCCGCCAGCCGTTTCTGGCCAACCACCGATCGTCTCTCATCAACGCTTGCAATGACTCTTCGATCCAACTTCAACGACAGTCACGGAATTAAGCCAAGTGGAGTTTTGTTTCTTGTTTTTTCTTTTTCTTTCAAACCCTAAGTATATATTCCTCGGATCCTCATTGTTCCGGTGGATTAATTAGATCATGCACAGTTGCTTAAGTGGATTAATTAGAGCATTAAACAAGCTCAACCAATCTCCACCAATCATCTTATAAATGCCTTTTTTTTTGGGGGGGGGGGGGGGCGGTTTCTCTATTGTTCCATGTAAACAGCGTTTCTACGTACAGTTTCATAAAAAAGTATAGGGGTTTTTGAACTTTAATCCTTGAAGAAGATTAAAATTCAATAAAAACCTGGTATTAAATTGGATATTGATTTTAGTCCTCTAATAAGTACTTAATTCAAATTTATATTATATTTTTGTTTTAATATTTAATAGATATCTTATTTAATGTCATTACATTATAATTATAATTATTTATTATTATACACATTTTAATTCATTATATTTATTTTACTTCCTCTAATTAGTATACCTAAACGTCTGTATTATAATATATTTTACTAAATTAGTGTACCGAAATGTCCGTACCTAAATATATTGTAGTGAATTAATAGCACATTAGGAAATATGCAAAAACATAAGTGTTCCGAAAAATTTAGTACCTAAATATATGATACTAAACTAGTGTACCGAAATGTCAGTACCTAAATATATTATAATAAACTAGTGTACCGAAATGTCCGTACCTAAACATATTATACTAACATAGTGTACCCAAATGTTCGTATCTAAATATATTGTAATGAATTAGTAGCACATAAGAAAATATGCAAAAACATGTGTATCGAAAAATCTTTACGAAAATATTTTCTCATATAAGATACTTACTATAATGAGAATTAAAATTTATAATATTTTCATAAAATTTAATTATGAACACCATAAAATAACAAGTAAAAAAGAGAGACATTTAATATGCTGACATTAAATTGAGTCTATGTCACATCCTGGTTCGGGCCTCCACCACATCCCGGGCTCGACTCTGCCGTAGCAAGATATTGTCTGCTTTGGGCCTGACCACGCCCTCATGGTTTTGTTTCTGGAAACTCACACGAGAACTTCCCAGTGGGTCATTACTCATGGGATTGCTCTCGCGCGAGCTCTCTTAACTTCGAAGTTCCGATAGAACCCGAAGCCAGTGAGCTTCCAAAAAGCCTCGTGCTAGTGCTAGGTAGAGATGAGAATATACATATAAGGCTTACAGAATCCATTCCCCTTGGACGATGTAGGATGTTACAGTCTAGGAACTAAAATTAATTTTTTAACTTGTATAAGACATTTTTCTAAACTTCATCTTATATAAGGATTAAAATCTAGTTTTCTAAAAAGTCTATATAGTACGTGCTAGTATATACATAGCTAAAGCTCCTTAAGCTGCGTGTTTGCATGGTGACGTACTGTTATGGTGGTGGCTACTGTGCCCATGGTGCCGGCAGAACCAAAAGGCTTGTGGCAAAACATGGACCCCATCTTTTGAAGGTGGGGCGTTGACTCAATCTTGCTGCAATGTGGGGTTATAGACCATTTGCAAATTGGGGGGTGTATTCAATTGAGATTTTGAGAGATTTTAATTCTTTTAATGAATTTAGGGGTATTCACTCATGATTTTAAGTGATTCCCTGAAATTCAAGGTGTATTCAATTAGAATTTTAAGATAGTTTATTAAAATCATTAGAAATTCGAGTGTATTCAAGTAGGATTTTAAAGAAATTTATAACATTCTAGGTGTATTCAATTAGAAATTGATTTTAAAGAATTTGAGAAAGTTGAAGAATTAGAGGGAATTTGAGAGATTTCGTAGTGTATTTTAAGTATCCACAAATCTCACATCTCTTCATGAGATTTCAAGGTAATTGAATCAAAATTTTATATGGAATCTCTACAAATTAATTAAACTCCATAAAAATCCATGGATTTATAAATCCATTAAAGTCTCTCAAATTCTCAATTGAATAAAGATGATGAGAGGCTACAGTTGACCGGCGAAATTAAGGGGGCTGTATTTCATTGAGAATTTGAGAGATTTTTATGGATTTATAAAATCATGGATTTTTATGGAGTTTAATTGATTTGTAGAGATTCCATATCAAATTTTGATTCAATTCCCTCGAAATCTCATGGGAAGAGGTGGGATTTGTGAATTGACACACCCCAACCAAGATCAAGGCATGTTGGCCATCACGTGAGAGTGACGTAGCCATGTGCACAGTGAGGAAGCAATATAGATAAGAATTATACGAATAATTAAAAACCAATTTACTAGAGTACACTACTAAACAGAACGTGATAGGAGTTAGTTACAACAGTAAACACTCCTAAACAAAGCATAAAGTTTAGGTGCAGTCCAGTAAGACAAGTACTAGTTATACAATACCAGAAATGTCCTACTATTATTTAGGTAGGTCAGAACTGCAGACGTCCTCAAGCCACCAACAACAAGCTTACTTAAAACCTCCAGGGGCACAAAACAGAAAACGTGAGTGGGCAAAAACAAATGTCTTACAAAACCATTTCATTTATCAATATACTAACCCCTCGCTGTAAAAATTGTATAATTTTTCCCAAAATCAAGATATAAGCATATACATAATATATATATCTGAAATCATAACAATTCAATTCATGCTTCACATAATCATATTCATATGTATGCCATGCAAAAATATAACAAAGTAAACAATCCAGGTAAGAATGATTTCATAGAAATATGATATGTTAGCCGGAACCCCTATGGTAGTCTGTACGGCTGAATTCATAGCTTAAAAGTCAATCTAGCCGGAGTCACTACAATGACCTATATGGCAATATACTGCACATAAGTCGGAACCATTAAAAAGAGGTCTATACGACAAGATTGGGTGTAATACAATTATGCTCAATTCTATTCTCTCATAATAGCCGGGTGATAAACCGCTAGTCACCTACGAGTCGAAACCATAAATAAGGTCTGTACGACAAGACTGTGCACTTAAGTTGGATCCAATATGAGCATATAGTGCAGGAGGTGACGTAAATAAACAGGCATGTACTTCACATCTCTGGCTAAATCACAATCACCCTAGGTGCAGTTTTATGAGCTCAACGTTATTCAATCACATATCACATATCATCGATGATTCACATAATCAAACATAACTTACCTGAACTTACATGTGCCTCCCCAGCACCACATTTATATATATATATGCAACTATGAAATGCATATTCATAATATATAAGCATTTGGCATATTATTTCAAAGCATACTTTCCTTAAAAATGCATTTCTGGGAAATATATCAAGTATATAAATATATACTGAAAACAAAAGCCCACTCACTGGTATGTCAACGGGTCGTAACCCCCGAGTCTCCCATGGATACGCTCGCCCTCAGGATAAGTCTCACATCGACTTTCCGGCCAAATTTAAAACTTGTCGATCTCTACTTTTCGACGTCCAAAATCCTCAAACGACCTATCCCTAGCCTCCTAGGGACCTCACAAAGCTTCCTATAAGCTTCAAATTCCATAAAAACAAGCCATATGTTTTTGCATGAACAGTACTTCATTCAGGGTTAGGGTTTTCACGTGATTTCGAAGTAGTTCTTACCTGTAAATGGTATGGATGAGTTCGTCTGAGCTTCACGAACACAATGGTGTCATTTTCCACTTCGATCCGTCACGTTTGCAAAGGTTTTGATTGACGTCCGTACATAGAAGGAAGAGAGATAGTAAACCGAGAAAGATGAGAAGGTACGAGAGAAAGAATAGAGATAGTGTGTGTGTGTGTGTGTGGCCTAAGATTGGTCAACTACCAAAAATACCATAACTTAATCCTAATTGGTTCCAAACAATTAGGATTTAAGAATATTGACCAAAAACCACACTTAAACCATATTACACAACTAACGTCCAAGGGTATTTTCGTCAATTCACGGCGTCGATAAATATATATTTGGGACGGGCTGTGACAATCTCCCCACCTTATAAAATCTCATCGTCGAAATTATACATAACAAATACATCCATTAATAATCATAAAACAAGCGTGGATACATCTCTCTCATCCAATCCTCTGTCTCCCAAGTAGCTTCTTCCATTGAATAATTTCTCTATAACACCTTCACCAAACGTACTGTCTTGTTCCTTAGTTCCTTATCCTTCAAATCCAAAAAAGTCACTGGTTCCTCATCATAAGTCAAGTCTGAATTGATTTCCAAGGGTCGAGGAGGAATCACTTGTGAAGGATCTGAAACATAATGTCGAAGCATCGAAACATGAAATACATCGTGCACCTTGGACAACTCTGGAGGCAACTCAAGCCTGTAAGCAACCTCACCGACTCGCTCAGTAATCATATATGGTCCAATGTACCTAGGACTTAACTTTCCTTTCTTTCCAAATCGTACAACACCTTTCCAAGGTGATAGCTTCAGAAATACCCAATCATTTACATCATACTTCCGATCAGTGGCATGCTTGTCTACTAAGCTCTTTTGTTGATCTTGAGCCGTTTTCAAGTTAGACTTAATTACCCGAATATTTTGAGTAGTCACATCCACAATCTCGGGGCCCACTAAAAC